CCGCCTCCCTCCCTTCCCCCTACCTCCCCCCTTTCCCCCCTGCCGCCTCTCTCCCTTCCCCCTACCTCCTCCCTTTCCCCCCTTCCCCCTACCTCCCCCCTTTCCCCCCTGCCGCCTCCCTCCCTTCCCCCTACCTCCTCCCTTTCCCCCCTGCCACCTCCCTCCCTTCCCCCTACCTCCCCCTTTCCCCCCTGCCGCCTCCCTCCCTTCCCCCTACCTCCCGCCTTTCCCCCTTGCCGCCTCCCTCCCTTCCCCCTCCCTCCCCCTTTCCCCCCTTCCGCCTCCCTCCCTTCCCCCTGCCGCCCCCCGCCCCCGCCGCCATTCCCAGCGCCGAAGGAGACGCTCTGTCATTCAGGGAAGGAATGCCGTAAACGCTAATAGTCCCCTTTATTATGAGCGCAACGGCAACCGTAAACCATATTAAGGCCCACGACTGTATTTACCGCGCACTCTGGCGCCGTTTACTCGCCCATATAAATAAATTGGTTGCGGCGGCGGCGGCGGCGTGCTCCCGGTTGTCGCCGACGACAGCAGCGGCGACGGCGACTTCTCGGGGGTAAGGAGTCGCTTGTTTTGGTTTTGGTGTTGGAGAGCGGGCGGAGGGCGGGAGGGGGGGTGGGGGAGGGTGCGTTCGAAGGAAGAAGTAAAATGGAATCAGGTCATTCAAGAGAAAAATAAAGATGAAATAAAAGTCGGATGGGAAACGTGTCATTTGGAGTGATTGGTCTTCGGAAAGGAGCTCCACGGCTGGCGCTGATTCGGTCTTCTTTTCTTTTTCATCTTTTTTCTTTTTTTTTTCTTTTTTCTTTCTTTTTTCTTTCAGTGTTGTCGCATGATATTCTTCCTCCTTCCCCTTGCTATTCCTCCCCTTCTTCTCCCCTGTCTCCTCCAAGTTCCTCCCTCCTCTCCTTCCCGCCCCGCCTCCTCCGAGTCCTTTTTTGCGCGCGTGTGCGTGCCCGCGCCGCTCTGTTATGGCGGGGTAATGTGGACGGCGCTGTCCTATTTGGAATTTACGCGGCAAAAAACGCGTCTGTTACACGGGCCCGGCGGTGTGGCCACTCTCTTAATTGCCGCGGACGGAGGGATCCCCGAGTGCGAGGGCCGCTCGGGGAGCCTCCGCCGCCGCCGCCGCCCGGGCACACCTCCCGGGCGCGGGTGGCGGGGGCGGGAGGGGCGGCGGGCGGGCTGCGTGCTGGGCGGCGCTCGCTGGACGCCGGGCATTTACGTCGGCCCGCTTCCATCCCGCCCGCCCGGACGGCCTTCCTGGGGCTGCTTTATTATCATGAGGCTGTGCATTCTTTGACTCGGGCTCCTGCGTGTGCGAGCCTCGCGAGCTATGTATCAAATGCCTCATTACAAGCTGCCAGAGACGCTGTCGTCATCTCCTAATTGATTTTATGCTAATGGCGTGCTTCATCATCGAACAGAATTATGAGGCAGTTTAAATAAACAGCAGAGATACTCAGATAAGAAATCCTGAAGGCCCAGTGTGCGGGAAGGAGCGACTCGCGCAAGCAGCTGGAGGCGGAGATCGCTTGCTGGCGTGTGACTCGAGGCTCGAGCGTGCGGCGGAGGCGCTGGGGGCCGGTGCTCCCGCGGGCCCTCAGCCACGACTCGGCTGGGCCTCCGTCCTCGAGAAATGTGGCCTCGTCGGCGGCACGAAACTCATTTGGCCGCGCTCTAAATGGCCAATTAATTGGCTCCTTAATTGCCAGATTGTGGTTTTGGTGGAATGGATTTTTTTTCTCTAGAGCGAAAAGAATTCTCTGAAATTTAATGCCTTTTCTAAATTCACGGCGAGTCCTACCACGGCATGTGCTAATAACCGTCCTTGTTCCCCAGGTGCGCGTGGTGCTCCGCGTGTCCCCCGCCGTGTCCCTCGCGGAGGGCGAAGCCGAGGTGGTGACCCTGGACAAGCGGCGGCGACAGGTGACCCTCGTTGACCCGCAGACCCGCCAGGCCCAGGAGTCCCGTGTGGGTGTGGCGGCCCCCAAGATGTTCGCCTTCGACCAGGTCTACACGCAGGAAGACTCCCAGGTGAGACGCCCCGCGCGCAGGGAGTGCTCCTGACGGGAAACTTTAGCTTCGCGCTAAACTCTTGACTCTGGTTGTCGTGTTATTGTTATTTTCGTTAATGAGACAGTTTGATATAAAAAATATATATTATATATTTTTATTTATTCCTTTGTATTGCCAACAGAATGAAGTGGTGTCCGGGGCCGTGGTGGACGTGCTGCACGCTGTCCTGGCCGGCAACGACGGGTGCGTGCTGTGCTTCGGCGGCGCCTCCCTCGGGAAGACGTACACCATGCTGGGCTCTCACACAGGCCCCGGGGAGCTCGGCGTGATGCCCTCGACGGTGGCGTGGCTGTACAGGGCGATCGTGGAGCAGAAGGCGAAGAGCGGCGCGAGGTTCAGCGTGAGGGTGTCGGCGGTGGCCGTCGACGCGGCCGGAGCTTTGTTCACTGATCTCCTCGCCGAATACGCACAAGGTGAGAGGCCGTTGCCTTTGCTCTGTGCGCGTCGCTTTGGAATTATTAGTAGGTGGCCACTTTGGTTCATTAAGGTGCTGAAAGTTAATGAATTATTGTCCACTCTCCAGATGGCGAGGCTTCCCCCAGTGCATTGCTCCGAGACTCGACCGGCGGCTACCTGTCCTCGGTGGCCGAGCTGCGTGCGCCCTCGCCGGAGGCCGCGGCCCATTACCTCGACGTCGCGATTGCTGCGCGGGCCTCGCACGCCCAGGTGCAGTCCGGCCAGCAGCAGGCTCCGGCCCCGGGCTCGGCCACGCTCCTCTACACATTGCATATTTACCAGTATGCTGTAGACAAATCAGGCAAAGGAGGAGGCAAGTTTATACTTTTTTTTGACTACGTTGTGTAGGCGTTCATGTATACAAAAGTTCTTCATTTATGTTATAGACATATACGGGACTGTCCATTTGGATTTTCTGTAGGGATTAACGGATATTTTTTCCAGTTGTGGGCGGTCGAAGTCGCCTGCACATGATAGATGTCGGAGACCTGAGTGGCAGCGGGGGCGGCATGTCCCTCTCTGCTCTCACCTCGGTCCTTCTCGCAATCTTCAACGGTCAACGATACCTGCCTCACAGGGAGAACAAGCTGACTATGTTGCTGAAAGAGGCACTTGGCTCGGTCACTTGCCACGCAGCCATGGTAGTGCACATATCCCCTTCCCCGAGGCACGTGCAGCACACGCTCGCCACGCTACAACTGGCCTCGCGCGTCCACCGGATGAGGCGCAAGAAGTTGAGGGTCAGTCTCTCTCTTTCTTTAGGTTTAATACTTTTGTGAATGGGAAATGGCCGAATGGTGACGTTGGTGATCATTTAATAGTTTTTTTAAAATTAATTGTATCATATAATTTACCATTTATATCTCTCCTCAGGGTCTCGGGGGCTCAAACTCCGGCGGCAGTTCTGAAGGATCGCACAGTAGATCCTCAGGCGGTGACACTTCTGCAGGATCCTCATCGATGGACTTCTCCTCCTCAGAGCAGTCATGTGATACAGTCATTTACATTGGTGGAGGAGGACCAGGAGATGCAACGGACAATGAGCACCCTCCTGTCTTCATGCCCCATCACACCAACCAACAAATGTGGCCCATTGCCCGACTCCGGTCCATGGAACACCTGCGCCCCCATTCAGCATCACCCACACCTGCACATACGCGCCGTGCTGCCTCGGCTAGCCCCACGCCCACGTCACGATCTGTTCCAAATGGGCGGTCTCACGTAAAACCTCTTCCTCCTCCAAGGACAGTCAGCAACACCAGCAGCCCAGCGAACAGCGGAAAGTCCCCGGGTGGAAACTTTATTCGGCACCAGCCAGGGGTCAGCAAAGTGTCATACAACAACAACACTGGGCAGCAACCCCTCCTCTCATCATTCAAACCACAGGTCACCCTTGGGCCCCTCGTCCCAGGCGATCTCAGACATTTTAACTATAATGCTTATGAGGAGCCTAATAACATGGTTCCCATATTCCAGAGATCTCGTCTCCCTATCCCTGCACACCAGCTTCAGCAACAAAGACAGCTGCAGCTTCAAAATGTACAGCAGCAGCAACAACAGCAGCAGCAACAGCAGCAGCAACAACAATATCAACAGTATCAACAACAATATCAGCAACAACAGCAACAGAAGCAGCAGCAACAACAACAACAACAGCAACAACAACAGCAGCAGCAACAGCAGCAGCAACAACAGCAGCAACCACAACAACAGCAGCAACTTATTCAAAATCAGCAACTTAAACAAGAGTTCCAGCAGTTGCAGCATCAGCATATACAGCAACATCAAAAGCAAATTCACCATCAGCAGCTTCAGGTTCAGCAGTTGCAGCAGCAGTTTCATCAACAGCAACAGCAGGGTCGTGCCAGCTCAAAGGCTGCTGCTGATGGAGTTGTTTCTGATGAACAGTGGATTGATGGGCCACGTGTCCATAAATCACGTGTTGCAGCTGCACAGAAGTTAAAAACCAACAAATCAGAGACTTGGGTTGATGGGCCTCAGGTAACACCAGCAGGATATGGTTTTATGGATGACCACAAGAAAACCATGATTGAGAGGTGGGTAGCAGTCCAGACAGCACAGGTTGTGCAGCAGCTAGAGCAACAACAGACTGTACCAGCCCAAGCGCCAGCACAGACTTCTGCAACCCAGCAGCAGTTCACACATCTCACACAGTTCCGTACTTGTGAAGAATCAACACTAGACAGTGACCAAGACACCCTAAGTGAAGATCCTCCATCTGGCCCTGGACGACCAGCTGGCCCTGATGCTGCCTTGCCACCGCAGCCAAATCTGATAGAGGAACTTGAGAGAAAGAATCTTATTCCTTCAGAAGATCCCGAAGAGGAGAAGAGTGAAGACCTGAAGCCAACCCCCAGTGAGAGTGAATCCCCCGTAAAGGAATCTCTGATTGAGGAGAAGAGCAGTGAGCCACAGTGCTCCCCTGATGAGGAGTCTGGGGCTGAAGAGCCTTCCATTGATGATATCTGTTCCCAGTGTGAAGCTTTGGCTGAAGAGTGTGAGGAGCTGAGCTCACTTCTGTCATGTGAGGAGGAAGAATGTAAACGTCAAGCACATCTTGGTCTTGGTAAGGAACCTTTATTTGTACTTAATTATGAGCAGTTATTTTCATATTGAATGTTATAATTTAGAATTTCAATTTCTCTTGATGGAAGACATAATATGTAACGTAAAAAATTATGCAACCCACATATATTTGGAAAAAAAAATATATGCCTTATTTTTCAAACAGCCACTGTGTTAGAAGAACCTGAATTAGAGGCAGCTGTAGCAGCTGAGGAAGCAAATGGACTGCAGGGTGAAGGTGATGAGGAAACTGGTCAGGATGGAGACGATGTCAGTTCAACCCCCAGACGTGGCTGGGTGAGACGATCCATAGCATCCTCAGGCACACATCACTCCACGGAACTCATTGAAGTCCAAGTTCCAGATTATCCTATCATAACTGTTGACTGTAGTATTCAAGTAAGTTTCTTACCAGTGTCATGTTTTTCTACACCAATTGGTAATAATGATTACTTTGAGTTATCTTTTAAAGTGTACCCCACTTATATGATGTTCAAATATATTTTGGCTGTACAGGTATGTGAAGAAGATATTGTGCGAGCTCTCGCAGACACTCCCTGCCAGAGTGAGGTGATGAGTGTTGAAACCAGTGATGACCACCCTCTCAGAGTTCTGTCTGAAGAAAATTTGACATGTGCATCCACATTCACAGGTATGAACATTTTCTAGGTTGCTGGTTATTTATTACTCCTGCTTGTCTCCATATATATTTTTTTATGATTTGATTTCAAATTAAATTGTGTACTGTCAGACAGACTCCAAAGATTCATTCTAATCATTTCTTGATTTTTCAGACTCGTACTCTCAGATGGGTGAAACTGGGGACGAGGATGACTCTGATGAGGATGATTCTCGGCCATTTAGTTTGTTTGAAGTTACAGACTATGGTAGAGTCTGTCAGGATCTTAGTTTAGCTCTTCAGTCTGATGTGGCTAACAGGAACCTGCATGAACTAGCGAAGATTCATGACTTGTACAGAACACTTGCGCGTCAAAGTCCTCGGGTTCACACAGGTGGACCAAAGTTGCAAGCTGCCACCCTTGCAGAAATCCTTGCCAACAGCCGAGACTCATTACTTGAGGATCAGAAGCCACCCCTAGAAGATGACAGTATATGCAGTGAACCTGTTCAGGCAGAAGGGAAGCTGTGTCAGCACTGTAACAAAAAGCGTCTTCGTCATGGCGACAGCATCCTGAAACTAGAGTCAGCCCTGAGGAGCAAGTCGCAGTGGCTAAGCCGACCCCTAGACACATTTGAGGACTCAGCAAGTGATAAATGCATTGGAACAGATGACCTGGATTTCCCTGAAGATCACTGTACATGTGATGTACAAAGTGATTTGGTACCATACATCCCTTCTATGTTCTTCAATTTTTCTTCCATGCAAAGTCCCGATGGTTCATCAAACCCAAGCATAAAGCAGCATGTGTCTGAAACTAGTATAAATTTAAAGGATGCACCATTGGCTGATTCCACAGAAAAGTTAGCAGACCGTGTTCCCATAAATGGCGTTTCTTTGCCAGAATTTATAGAAGATGTCGAAGCTAATGTTGTTCTTTGCAACCCAGTGCAATATGATTACAGCAAAGATGAAGATGTTATTGATGTGAATGATGAGCGAACGGTTACTGGGAAAAGTGATAATGAAAGTGACTGTGTTAGTAACATAAGTGAAGATTCAGAATATATGATGCAGACTTCAAAACTTTCAAAATTCCTCTGTGTAGGCGTTGGTAGAAGTAAAACTAAAGCTCCATATAAGGTAGCAAAACAAAATAATAATAAGATAGTTGAGAACAAGAAAAATATCTCAAAAATCAAAGATTCCAAAGTAAAAACTCCTGCTAAAAGTAGAGAAAATTCTAAATCTCCCGATCGCAATTCAAAAAACTTGATAAAGTCTCCCTCACGAGTGGTCTCACAAAGTGCAGCTAAGCAAAGTGTTGGCAGGCGAGGGGAAACAGGATCAGTACGCACACGTTGGGGTAAGTCAGCTCGTGTCGGGGCAATTAAACCCCCAGCTGTAGGTATGAGGGGAAATTACCGCTACACGTGTACCCTGATGTACCCCCCTGATGCCCCCACACCCACGGAAGGATACGACTCTGGTCATGATTCAGGTGCTGCAACTCAGGGGAGTGCAACCCCCCTGGAAAATAGTGAGGCATGGAGGACTGGTCAGAATCTACAGCCCCAGCACCACCACCAGCATCACCACCAGCATCACCAGCACCACCAACATCACCATCCAGCAGCAAATAGTGGGTCCTTAGGCACCAACCCTTCCTTAGGTGAATCCTCTGGATATGAGAGCATCCCTCGAGACTCTGAGTGTTCCTCATTTAGTTCCTCCCAGGATTCTGAGATGGATGAAGAACATAGACGAGACGCTCAGGCCCAGTCTCAAGCTCTCCAGCAACAACAGCCTCAGCCTCAGCCTAAACCTCAGGCAACAGATGATTTATCAAAAGTTCAAGTTGAGGAATGGTCAGAGGAGGATGTGAAGAGATACGAAGGCCGCCCTAGAGCAGCAGACATACCTCAGTTGAGGGCGTCACGTCAGCAAATTCTATCTCTTAAAACTATCCAGAGAGCCCTAAAAGCTGACTTAGCTCAGGCTAAAGGGAATTTGAATGTTCCTTCGGATTCCTGGAGCTACGAACGTAAGTCAAACGTACGTATGCAACTGCACATTTTTTGTTTTTTTGTAGATGTAATTTTTCATTATTTTAAGTTTCAAAAGCTACTTGGTTTTAATAGGTAGATTGTGACTTTGAAATAGTTCTTAGAAACTTCCTGTTGAATTAGCACAGAACAAAACTGTAGAAGTACCATCCCATAGAGTGTTTTACTATGCAGTATGGTAGTCTATCCTTTTAGATAATGGCATTGCAGTATCCTTCTACAGCATTAAGTAAAGACCTGGTTAGTTTTTACACCAGAATCGATAAGGTCTATATTATAATAATGTACAATGTATATAGTATATTCACCATCTTTGTCATTGAAAAATAGTATGAAAATCATATGCAGATTAATATCCTAAAAGTGTGTTTCTGATTGCCCCATTTTCATTTTACAGTACACATAAAGGAGGACTCGCCGATGGATCATCGCACCTTTGTGGAAGCGCTTGCGAGGGAGACGGTTATCTTGCAGAAGCGCGTTGCAGCCGCCCGGAGTCGTGTCCTTGTTGTTACAGCTTTTCTGCCTAGACAGCGACGTGAAACTCTGATCAACTGACATTGGGGGCTGTGGAAGCGCAACGTGTTTTATTCCTGTGTTATTTAACCATCTCAATTCAAACATTTTCAAGTTGGTCTTGATATCTTTTGCAATCAAAGAAAATTTTTCTTCAGGAAATGTATATGAATATTTGTCCCTTTGCCATTAGTGTAATTTGCATCTTAAAATATATTTGTGTGATTATCTATAAAAGCAATTATGATTATTGCATTTAATCTGTCCAGCTCAGGTCCTAGGTCTGTATCTTTGTTCTGTACATGTGCTAAGGATCAAGGAAGATATTTACTAAAAATTTGGGAAATATATAAAACTCCTGTATTATTCTATGCCCATGATCTCATTTGCAATAATAATAATTATGAAATGGGTTTCAGATGAAAATGAGATTTTTGACTCGGTTTCCAGATAATATTGCCTTCAAAGAAATTTCCTTATTAGGCATCAGCAAATTCGTAACTGCCAAGCTGTGTATATCTATAAAAGCAAGCTTCTAGCCTTGGACATATTGACATGTGACTATTTTGTAATTATAGACCGTTTGACTTTATTTCATGACATTTATTAAACAACTTTTTGTATTCTTTTTACCAACAACACAGTCCCAATTGATGTACTTTGTGGCAATAGTGAAGAAAACAATGCCATAGGGTAAACAATGTGAAATTGATCATGGATCACTTTTATTCAATGGAAAATGGGATTGCACTATTTACATTACCATTAATTTAGGCAATTTATTTTTGCCATTGTAAACCTTATAAAATAGTTAGTCCTTATTCCATATAATATATAATATAAATGGATTTAGTGATTCCATTTTTCAATTTATTGGTGATCTATGAGCAATTTGGTTATTGTTTAGTCTAAGTCAATAGCCTAGCTTCTTGGTGAATGTGATTCTTATTGTATATTTGTGAGCAATTGTTTCCTGCATACAGGTGATTATGCAGGATTATCTCAGTTGCATAATGTGTGATTTACTTGAATTAAATGCACAGAATACACAGTAATATATATTGAATGTACATTGGTAGATAGTTAATTTACATAGTGAGGTTTGTCCACAAACAGAAATTACAGAGAGGTATGTATGAACTGTATCTCTTTTCTATATTTATAAAGGTGGTCTTTTGCCAGCATAGTCATGTATTGTGTAAAATAAAAATGATTGTTTAGTTATAAAAGTCCTTTTGTTTCCTGTCACATTTTTGTAAGACATTCCAACACTTTAAAGGTTGTTGTTAGCCTAATTTTTTGGATATCCTTAATTTTTATTTAATGTTTTTTGTTTATTTTTGAAAGGTGTATTATTCAAAGCCTTATTTTTTTTCTTGATACTATAATTAAAATTCAACTTTTCTCATATGTGCGCATTGTGAAAAGCACATAACACCTTTCTGTTTGCAGTTTTTACTTGGAAAAAATGTTATATAATACCTTTTTTATAGTATCTGTTACTTTCAGAAAAACAAAGCAAGCACTATATCTGAAATGAACAAACAAAGTAAGCACTGAAATGTACATGAATTTCAGCAAAATTTGCTAACTAAAACTAACTACAGAAAGATGATACACAATGAAATGGATTTGGGATGAAGATTAACCTGCTGCAGATCTAAATGCACCTCTTAAAGAGGAATCACATATGAAATGTGCGAGAAAGGTGAATGAAATGTCATCATACTATAATGAGATTTATTAGGATAATGAATGTGCAAAGGAGTCACTTGGGGCAGCCAGCTTCCCTCACACCTACACGATTAACCAATCATCACATTGTCCATCCTTCAAATCTTGCATTTCCATCAAGCTCAAATTCCTTCCAGTATTCATATATGGTATTGGTGTTCAATATGGCTCATTTTCCCCATTTACATCAAAGAAAAAAAAGAATCATCACAGAGGCTCAAAATCACAGATCTACTAGTCTTGTGCATGAAAATGAACTGCATATGAACCCCATAACTAAAGTTTGAGAGTAGTTAATATCACGTTCATCAACTAGGAATGAGCTGCTGGAAACTCCCAAATTTTGCAGTCAGTAATATGATATAGTAAAACAATTCAATAATATCCAATTATCCAGAGCCTTTAGTTCAGTATACCCCAAAAATCATAAAATTCACCTTTAGAAGAGTTCATATCTTTTTTGATAGCAAAGAAAAAAGCAACAGGCAACATGGTCTAATAAGTACAGTTCATTAAACATATGTCATTGACCTCAGAAATCAACACATTCAATTTTAACTATGGAAGAAAGTATAATTGTAAATGTGGAAAAAAAAGCTAATACTATTTACTAACGAAAGGATTTTATGACTTCTGGACTACAAGACACATCACTCTTACAAAATCAGGCTATCACAATTCTGGAAAAGAAAGAACTCATTGGCACATAAATCATTATATACAGCTATAGCATGATTTGAAAATGAGACAAGATCAGCAATTATGAGCCACAGAGAGAAAAAAGTCTCACTTAAAGCTCTACTCATTTACAAATTGAATTAAAGGTTCTAGCGTCAAAGATCACTAACAATGAACAAATAATTTTTTTTCGAGTCCACAATATTTGCAACACAGATTAAAGCCTGAATAAGCCTCAAAGACTCAAAATAGCTGCTCCTGTCAAAGACATGTAATGGTGGAAGATCCCGCCCAGCTGCCCCAACAGTCAGCACAAGCAAGTCATTGCAACAGTCACTGGGTCCTCAAATCTTATTTCAGTATTTATGAGCTTAACCATAATTTGGATCCACTCGTGTCATGATGGTTTTACATGTCAACAATAAATCCAGAAAAAAATTAATAATTTAGTTGAAAGCAATGATATATGGCAAGTGCATTCTAATCACAAATTCCCTAATTGCCTTGTCTGAGCACCTGCTTATGGCCATGCAGTCAATGAGGTCAAACTTGTAGGACTCAAACCATGATCCATAGATTCAATTTTTGACAGGAATTCTAGGATCAAGAGAGAAGTAAAGCATCAGGAAGCATGGTAATAAAAAAGAAGTGAAATAATTAAAAATGTATTAGACTTTAATACATATCAGTATATGGTTAAACTGTATTACAACTGTTTCACCCTTATCTATTATACATCCTTTATCAGCAGCATTTTGAAAACTTCTTACATTTGATTATCATACCATAAAAGAACAGTAGTGTTGCTAAGCTTGTTGACTATGCACACTGAAGGCTATTTAACATGGTAGGATATAATCAGTTACTTTGAGCTTTGGGTAATACTTTGTTAAGCTCAAATTCTGTGTTGAAAAAGAGAGAACTTGTGCCTTTCAAATATGTATATTTGCATATGTATGTATATACATACATACATTTTATGTCATTATACACAGGTATGTATATGTATGTATGTGTGTATATGTGTGTAAGTGTATGTATATGTATATGTATATGTATGTATATGTAAATGTATGTTTCTGTATATGTGTTTATGTGCATATATGTTTATGTGCATGTATGTTTATGTGCATGTATGTGTATGTATATGTATGTGTATGTATATGTATGTAAAAGTATGCATGTATATGTATGTATGTATGTCTCTATATATATATATATATATATATATAATATATATATTATTATAATATATATATTATATATATATATATATAATATATATATATAATATATTACATAGTACACATACATGATACATATATATACAACATATAATCACTACATATATATCCATGTACATGCATATACACACAAATACATAAGCATACATACATACATACATATCCTGAAGCTCAAACTTGCTGATGATCTCATAAATTGTGATAAGCTCAGTCATTGTTAAGAGCTCATTTTGAGAATATCAAGTGATCCTTAACAAGTTGGTCTATCAACACAATCATGCTAAAAACCCATTGAATTAATGAAGGTGGTGGGGTTAAGTAACTTATCTGATGCATATAAAAATTACCTGGTTGTATTAATAAAAAGAACTTTAGTATCCATGACCACTGAGAAAAAAAGAGCATTTATGTACATCAACTATATTACAAACACAGCACTATCTTACATTCCAAGTCTGCATTCACACAAAGCCATCAGGCGCATGGGAATCTTCTGGAATGGTGGGCCCCACACATCCATCTATACTTGTCTCAAATGACCATTATGGTCATACCACACCAGATGATCATCAGAGTCAGAGGCATTGCAATCAGTTCCATTCAGACCCAAGTCAACAATTGAATAAGATGTAGAGCAACTGTATAGTTACAAGAGACCAGTGAAAACCAATCACATTAGTATCATTATGTCAGCTAAAGGGGTTACAAACAAAGGCATATAAGACTATCATGGTGTCACCTCCAAGCACAATTGACTAGCTCCCAGCCCTAATAATATGAGTTATACTATTGTTAATAATCATATCATCTTTATTGGGAATTAATATTTAACTTCACATTTTTTTCCAAGAGAAGAGAGTAGACCATGCAGGAGAAACTGAAGGTAGGCAGCAAGAAACAAGTGTAAACTCCTTTAGTTAACATGAACTGCACCCCTAATGGCACATTTGCTGCTCCTTAACATCCTACAATTGGTTTATAATATTTCACTTTGCCAGGATAAGCCATATCTATGTTATCAATAATCACAAAGTAATCTATCACACAAAGATTGCCAAGTAAGCAAATATGTCAGTAAAAACTACTGGTAAAACTATGGTAGAACCACCTGGCACCACAATGTTGAGGAGTCAATCCAACCTTGAGTCACGTTCTCTCAACCAACGCACTCATTCATAAATTCACAATTTTACACACAATAGCCTTGTCCTTGTTTATTATTCTTATAAGCACTTCACCTTCCAAGGACATATTTTCTATAATTTTGTGCCAAAACTGTCATGGGCAGATTCTATTTCCATAATTCTTAAAGAAATATTGTGTACATCTATACAACAGTATTCATAAAATTAGCAACTGTTGGCCAACTATATTTCCTATTCTAATATCAATTAGTAAAATCTGAGTCATTTATATTTTACAGAGCTTTTTTTATTATTATTTCAGTTGTTTTCAAAATTTCTAATTACAAAATCTTTTCTCATTTCTTTTTTGAGCCAATCAAAGGTTCAATAAAATTAATTTTTCTGCCACACCCCCTAACCCCAACCCTATCCCCAAACACCCGCCATTTTCACCTCCACATATAGTATTATCATTAAGGTGTGGTTCAGACTTTGGAGAAGATGCTCCTGAATTCTGGGTCTCGGCACGCTTGATGTACAGGTTGAGGAGCTTCAACTTGGATCCTGTGAGACTCTCTAAGTGTGGTCGCATTGCATCCTCTCCCACGGCATTATGCAATGCTACCATGCAGAAACACTGAAGCTTGCGTACACAAGACTCCTTGTTGTCATATGCCTGTAAATAATAGAATAGATATGATTATAGCAATGCCTTCATTTTGTCCATATGTAGAGAGTACATGATAGCCACACTTCCAATTAATCCAATGAACAATTGAGATAAGTTCTCTTGCCTTATGATAATTTTCATGTTCTCACTGAAAGAAAATGTGCATCATTCTAATCCTCAGATCATTTCCAAAATATGTGAACGGTTTTGTCATCATAAACCCAATTTAGTTCATTTTTTTTTCTTCGTATATGATTTTACTACCACAGATTCTTGTTTCAATGACTGATAACACAAAACATCAACATCACACACAAAGGTAATTTGCAAAACTATCAGGGAAATTGTACAAAACAACATAACCACATTTCTTGAATCCTAAAAAGATGTATCTGATATATATGAAATATTTTTTTCAAAGCTCATTGCTCATTGCAATCTCATATGATTCTATATCAAATATAAGTCAACTCATTTAAAATTCACTTATAATGCAAGCAGGTCAGAAGATTTAATTCTATAGAAGCTCAGCTACAGTATCAATAAAAGCTAGGAAAAAAGCATTCAAGAGTACTCAAAAAGCCCTTTGTGGTAGTACAACCTCAGTCTAAGCAACTGTGCTTAAGCTGATGCATGTAATGTAATTCCCTAGTTTTTAAAATCATGCTTAACACAATTGGCTTGTTCTTTTCCCATAACAGTATGTGATAGGTAAACACTATACTGCAATTTTATACAGCTGCTCATAACATTATTTTGTCAAATTTATGCACATCTCTCAAAAATCTGCCTGCCTCATTATCAAGACACAGACAGAGTCAAAAGGGGTACTTAGGAACACACTCAGCACTATACAGAAGTCGGTTTATCAGTGTTACACACAATAAAATATGACAGCATCTATAATTCAGTGCAAAATCCTGTTTTTGCTTTGTGGCAGAGATTCATGTTAGTTTAGAGGCATCTGGTAGCATATGACTGCATTGAAAAATAAATAAAACAATAAATTTCAAATATCTTCCAGTAACTGGTCATCTCATATCAAAAATCCCAGTTTAAAAAATTGACAAAGACAAACAATTTCAAAAAGACCTATGGAACATTACATAAAGAAATGAGAACATAAGAGAACATATCATCCTCATTCATCATGACAGAAAGGAAATACTGTCGGCCTCTTCATATCTTTAGAAAAATGGATGCCAGGCTGTGGAACCTGTCTCAGCACGATTATACTTTCCATGAACATGTTAGCAATCTATTTACCCACTAAAACTACTTTCAGTAAGTTAAGACACAAGATATTTACTGGCAAGAGGCAACATGAATTACAAGATTACAGTGATTTCTGCTACTCTTGTTAATATTTATGTGCACTATAATGCGTGTCATAAATTAACCAAAACATAATTTATTACATAAACCACAAAGTAGCATTACAATAAAACTACATTTGCACTGATACATCTTACAAATCTATTTTGTGAATATTCCATTCAATAAGGAAATATGGCTTGTGGTAACACCAGTAAATACAACTAACACTACGAATTTCCTTCTGGGTCTGGGGAAAAGGTGAATGCATAGTGTCTAACTAATCTTCAAATAAAAATGATGACAACCTTTTATAACAATTTAATTTGTCTGCTAAGTTTAAGCTTTGTTGCCAAAGATATACATGTGCTCCATTTTCTTCATACAGAAAATTTATACCTGATTTTTAAATTTTGAAAAGCATTTAATTATCTATTTGTAAAGTGCCCCTTTAAAAAATCTATGGCTGGATCTCTAATATTTCTATCTAGAATAAAAAAAAGAAAGAAAACAAAAATGTGTAATGAAGGAAGCATCTCCAACAACAATGTAATGTAGAGTTTTTTCAGTTACATGTAAACAATGAGAACATACTGTAAAGATCAAACATCACAAGTTGCAAAAACTGTCATTATAGCATGTCTCATAATTTTGTTTTGTATGGCAGATCACCCACCCTGTACCTGGAGCAGATCAAAATATTTGGCATTTACACCAATTCTTAAATTTTTTTTTAGTCAGGAAAGTCAATAATAAATCTTAAAGACATCAATCCTTTCCAGATGATTAAAAAACAAAAACAAAAAACAAACATATATAGCCAACTACGATAAAGGTAAGCAAGACTCAAAAAGCAAAATAAAATATAAACTTTTTCAAACTGCATGTGCAAGGAAAGGCAGCAGTTGCTACACGTAATGCACATTTAAACATATGACTAAATACTCATCATAACAGTATTTAAGAATCCTACAATGATTACAGATTGGGTATCTATTTATTGCCCATTATCAGCATAATATCACGACTGAGATGGAATGTAGCTTGCAGTATAAAACAACTATTAACAACTACTCAAACTTTACCAAAAGGAGAATTGTGTCTATTAATCACACTGGAAAGAATCTAAAAGCAATCCCTGCTTGTTTTTTTAATACATTCTTTTCAGTTTATTTCCCAATTCTAAGTCCAACCCCCAATTTTTTGAGGGAAGGAGGGAGGGACAAAAAATTCTCAATGTATATCAAATAATTTCATCCTGAAGGCTCTGATGCCTGTGGATATACGTCATCAAGTGAAAATGCTACGTCAGCTTCAGTGATGGGGTGTGAGGGGGAACCAAAGAAAGTGTTCTGCAGTGTTCTAACAGTGACTTGTGAACCAAAGCTTGGTGGGGGTGGGGGGCAACTGCTTGCTCCTGGAGAGTATAATCTGAGACACGCTTTGTTCTTATTCTTCCAGCCATGTGAAATTAGGCACCTACTGTCATGCAAATATCTTAAGAAAAACAAAATAAAAAACAAAAAGAACAACTGAACTCATCATAAACCATGAAAGTTATGGAAGTCCTATCAGATTCATCCTGATTGACACTCATAACAGTCATCAGAATCAAATAAGTCATGCTTACCAGCTGAAGAGGCAAAGATGAAAAGAAAGACAGAATGTAAATGATGCTATTGAGTGTACCTTAAAAATTCCAGTGTACACTTTTAAGTCAGTAAACAAATGACCTTTTTACATGGTGTTTGTCTTCTTCAAAATTAGAAAAAAATAAGAACTAGGAGGAGAAAAATCCTTCCACATGAAAGGGTTAAACCACACTCCCACTGTCTAAGCTACCAAAATTATTTTTTTCTCTCCTCTTCTGAAAAAAACATCAACTATCAAAATACTCCAAACACATTCCTATTTACAGTATGGAGCAACATGAAAACAAGATGTAAAGGAAGTGAACCAATTTCTTTTTACTGAAAAAAGAAAGAGTGGTGTTAGGAGAATCCACAGTATGTAAAATATCATCATAGTAAATGATCAAATTAGCATTTTACTTTTTGTACAATAGCAAGTTATCAAAGCTGGTCATGGCTGTTTTCTTTATTTTTTGTATTTTTAATAGACAAAGACAAGCACTGTAAAGCCTCTTTATGTTCATTTCATCGTATCATAATGTCGCCGTCTCCCAAGAACTGAACCAGTATATCTGCCAATTGGTTACTGAACACAGAGCAGAAATATACAAGTTTTTGCTGATGATTCTTTAAGTTCTCAGATTTTTTTTTTTTTTTATTCTGAAAGCTTTCCAATTTACTGTTATTATCAATAACAACTTGTTTCTATCAAACCACCTGTAATGGTTATCTGTGTCACATGTATCTATCCTCATGCATTTGTGTATATGATTAAAGGCATTTATTATCATTAAGCTTTGGTCAGTATTGTTTAATCATCCACTGTATATAATACCTGTAATATTAATCAGGGATGACGCAGGAATTTTGTGAGTTTAAAGCTGGTGCAGTAGGCTGGAAATTATCTAGATAATTAGTCATGAGAAAGTCTCAGACTTGTGAGAGTAATATGAAACAAGTCAATTCCCTCTCCCTTGGGCTCAGCTGATCTGACAAAACTAAATCCTAAATTGCACAACTCCAACTAGTCTTTGCTTTGGAATTTCATAGTGCTACAGAACTATAATCTACAATACTAATTAAATGTCTTGTTACATAGATATGGCCTCTTAAAAGAAAAAAAAATCAAATGGAATAAAATAAATAAAATAATAATGCAGTTACACTTTACAGACCTTAATGAGTCCAGGCATGATTTCAGGCAATGCTGCAGCAACAATGGATGGTTGATGGGCTTCAACCAGTTTATTGAGCATTTTGATGGCCGCTTGATTCACTGGATATTCTCCCATTTGAATAAGAGGCTTCAACACCCGAATCACGACCTCAGGAGGAAGGATTTCTGCTACAGTTCCCGACAAACCTAATGATCAGAAAAAATATCATTAGACTTAAGACAAGTTGACATAGGTTGTAGTCTATCATCAGCACATAACTTTAACCAAGACATACTACATTTAATAAAGTCATAATATATATGATTATCTCTCCCTCTGCTAAAGAACACTTACACTTGCTGCTCGAAGGACTTCCTTTTCTTTGTCAGCATGTGCATTAAGGACCCTAAGGATGATAAGCTCCGAAAAACTAAGGAAGTGATGCACAAGTGGACTTCTCCTCATCATCTCTGTCAGAACGGCTAGCACCAGGGCACGCTGACCTCCATCGTCACACACAAGACTCTCTAACAACAACCTCAGCACAGCACGGAAATTCTCATTCCAGACTAGAGTGGAGCCTGTACGCGCTAGTCGTATTAGAGATGTCAGCGCGGCACGCTTTTCTGCTGTGCGTCCCTCCTCTGTGTTACCTAGCTCTGCCACAACACCAGACATTACCTCTGCATCACTCTCCTGTCCATCTCCTGGAATTGTGACAAAAAGCATTATTTTCAGTCCATTTTGACCCACTGATGCTGCAATTCCATAAATGAACATACACTGTCCATTTCAGTTTTATTTTATATTTTCTTTTACACAAAGATGGCTCCCACACAGCTTTAGTCACCAAGTAGTCAATTAATAGGCCTACCTGTCATCCTCCTCTTTCCATGAAAAAAAGGTTTTACCTTTTAAACTATCATCTTTACATTTCATTAACAACAATATCACTATCATCATTAATAACAACATTGTAAGGGTAATACTAATAGAAAAAAGAAGAAAATTTAAGGATTTGAGGTGAACAGGTGAGGGCAAGTTGGCCTATTCACTGACTCCTTAGCAACTATATCCACCGAATTGGACAGCACATGTTCCTGCATCAGTGGGTTAAACCTCTCATCTTCACACAGCTAATCAATTTTCATCATTCACTAGTCTTCAGTATCTTCACACAATGGATTTATCACTGAGTAAAATAATTAACAACACTGGAATTCTATAACACAAGAAACTACAGAATGACCCATATAAAATAAATGGAGAAAAATGAAAAATATCAGGTTGCTTCAAGAATACTCTCTTTCCATAAAGAGAATATTTAGTTTAAATATTCTTCATTAAAATAATAATAACAAAAAAGAAGACACAAAAAGAAAATAATCACAACTCAATTTCAGCACATTGCACAGTAGCATCCAATGTGCAAGACGTAGCATGCAGGCAACTTAGGCTTACTGACCCCTGAACCAAAAAGGAGAAGCCAAATCAAAAAATACCTCTACCGAGATCATCGTCTGTGAGGGTGTCGAGTCCATTTCTTGAAGAGTCAGACATCATGGAGAGGTTGCGATGTGTGGGTGACGAAACGCTTGAAGATCTCCCCGAGAGGATGCCATTGGTATCCTCCACACCCTTGTCGTCTACGGTATCTATAGTGCGAAGGTCGCCTCCACCAGCTGATAATTGACTAATCCCAGAGTCCTGTCGGAGGAATACCTAGTTTCTGTTGGTTCTATTCTTTCAAAAAATGATTTCTGTACTTTGAGGAAAGGAGTCTGATCGTCTTTTTTTGAGAGGAGACAATGCTTCAAACTCTATTATAATCATAACGTACATATCAATTTCATATATGCTTTTATTAAGAAAACTGTTGCATTTATAATAATGCAATGTTTCATGATTGACACACATTAATATAAGTGAAAACAAAAAAAGTTAAGATTATATTATTGAAAACTTAAAATATATACAAAAAGGACTCCTTCAAATTCTTTTTTTTCTTTTAATCTGCAAAGATCTGGTATTCTCACCTGTGACGTCGAATCTCTATGTTTTTCTAAACTATCTCTGCGACTACTTAAATCCAGGTCGAAGCTATAGTTCTGGATCTCTGCTGTTGTGCGTTTCAAACTCCTAAAATGTAGGAAAGTAATTCTCAAAAATAGGTCACACACACACACACAAAAAAAAACAATTACAACAAATTAATCAAAGTACTAATACACTGGTGAAACCATTATAAATCACTGACAAACCAACATACCTATATACTTCTTCTGGTTAAGATTTTCCGTATCATCAAAGTCAATGGTATTGTGTCGTGATGACCGGTGCGAGCGTGGGAGTGAGGTATTTGGGCTCTGAAGCACGGGAGTCCCGCCAGCACTGGGAGGTGTACGGGTGGGCAGGGAAGAGGGTGAGGCATCCAAACTGGCCGCTCTCTTCAAGTGGCTCTGGATGATCTGCGACGCTGTGCTTTGGCAGGCAGAAGGCAGCTGCTGCAAAAGTGCTGTGAATTCTGTGATGTTGCAGTTGAACATGGCGATAAAGCACGCTGAAGCTGCCCGCCGGATGTCTAGGGACTTCTGATCAGCAGTCCAGGTAAGGATCTTGGCCAGTGCCATTGGAGTGTCGGGGGATGCTGTGAGGTCACCGCGGTCCATCACATCCACCAGACACTTGAGGTACGTCAGCGTTGCCACCTTCACCTTGGAGTTTGGAGTTTGAGCTTGGTCCACTAGAAATCTCATTAGAACGATGAATTGTTGATCACATGGGAATGAGTCTCTGAAAAGAAAAGAAAAGGAAGCATGCATTACAATTCAAGCTAATCCCTCTGCTTTCATTTGACAAAATCTTTTTATCATCAATGTACAAAGACAAGGATGATAAAAACAAAAATCACAATAGTAATATGTAATATGAAAAAGAGAGCAAAGCAAATAATAGATAACGAGAGAGAAGAAAAAGAAAAAAATCCACTTACCTGACTAAATCTAAGGTTTTGTGGATCTTGGTCTGCACAGATCCCAGCAGATCTGATCCCAATTTGTTAAGCAACCTTGTAAGTAGAATATAAAGCCAATCACCAGGTCAGCTTTGTGTACCATGATCAGCTCCATCAAGGTGTCCAGGAAGAGTGTGAACACCTTCGTGTGAGCATCCATGAACATTTTGGTAAAGATCTCAGTGACCCTCTTCAGCTCAGATCCAGTGAGCATGTGTGAGCCACGTAGGAATGCCTGAAGAGCCATCAAGCCTTCTTTTCGATCACCCCAGTGTGTTGACGCGCAGTTAAGGATGATGTCGCTCACGTCCTGCATCTGGAAACCACAGAGATGTGGAATGAATAGTATGTTCTTAAGATGGGGAAAACTGCTTCTGAGAGACACCAGAGAAAAAGGAAAGAAGAGTGAAAGAAAAAACGATATTTGCATCTTCATGTCAAAGTATACAATACAGATGTCACTTAATTTCTCAATATAACATACTTACCTTAATTTGTAAAAACACAGATTTTTTTTAAGCAATACTTCTATGATGATACTCTAAGAATACTTTTTCCCTTTCAACAACAACAACAACAAAAAAAGAGGTTAAAAATTAAATGTAAATTATCATCAATCACAAACTCTAATCTCAAGACATGTCTACTGATGCTGAAGCATATAGTTGGCTAACATGCCAATTCTGAAAGGTGTTCACACAAAACTACAATGAAAAGTGTTCGCTATTTGATATTCAGCCTCCATATATATTAGACAAAAGAACATGAAACATACAACAAACAAAAAAAACAACAAAAAAACAAAAACAAAATGCAAAAAATAGCTTTATTTCTGATGCCACTGACAATGGAGGCATCCTTATAAGATAGGAATAATCATGCAGTATTAATTCTTTTAGTACTGCAAGCTTATTAGGAAATTATATATTTAAACTGACTGAAACTTTTTAAAACACCAAATTATATGGATAAGCATGACACAGGATGAAATACACAAAAAAGGACAAACAGAAATGTTCACAAATAAAAATCCAAAAGTAGTTAATCCAGGATTTAAATAAACCTGAGACCATTTCATGTACATTTTTTTCTTTATCATTTACCTACAGTTCAGTATGTAATGGCTATAGGAACTAATTATGTGAGGGAACTCCTTGTTCAATGTCCACTTACTAGGATTGAATAAAACAAAAAACTTAAAAAGACACAAGGAAATAAAATCATAATTATCAGCCACTCCATCGACGTTAAAAATAAAAAAAACAAAAATAAACGGACGGACTAACACATACGGCGTTGTATTACTTCCAGACAACAGGCATAGAACTCAAGGCCTTGCGCAAGGAGGAAAACATATATCAATAAAAAGAACAAGAAAAAATATATATAAAAAAGAAAAAGAACTTGTCCTGTTATCTAGAAGTCACACATCTAAAGACTCTATAGACAGGGGGAGGAGGAAGCTAAAATGAGGAAATCTACTCAATGAAATCATCTCACCTTAACTGTTGGCTCCCACACTTCCTTGAGAATACGTTGTTGTGATCCGTACCAGAATTGCTAGGGTACGGCAAGAAGAGAACCATTGATAAGCTACATACAAAAAAAAATCAAACGCAAAACACCATCTGCAACAGAATCAAATGTGGCAACCAGGCTATCAACAGATGTCTGTATAACCTTTGGAAGATTTTCCCATTGGTATAGTGATGGGCCGGAATGCAAAAAGGAGAATGAACTACATTACAAAATAAATAATACACTACAATGAACATTCATGCATTGAACAGCCTCATTGCCAACATAACTGATAGGAGGGAGGGGATATGGGGGTTCATGTACATTTATTGCCCCAAGCTAGTACATCATGTATAGCTGTCTAATATGGAAAGAGAAAAGGAGGGGGGAATACCATGTATGGGATAATACCATGGCACTGTAGTAGTACTGAATCTTACATAGCTACAATAATTCATGCAGATAAAATGTCTTCCTTGAATCTAGCATTCTAAAAAGTATTAGTCTTTGAAAAGCCATCTCTCATGACGTAATGCAGAATTTCACATAAACAACACACAATTACAACTATAAAATCATGACACAGAAGGCAACATTTAGATATGTAAATGCAAAAGGAAAAGAAGCACTTTAAATTTTTTTCAAAAAATATAAAATAGTGGCTCAAAATCAGCCCTCTGAATAAATCTTACATTGGCCAATGTCCTAAAAAGATGAGCTTTAATAAAGTTGCCATGTCTGCTCACTCTTGGGTTTATTTACTCTTAATTAGCTATCTATGTACTGCATAATGTCTTAGTATTACCATGTCTTTTAATCTTTTTTGGACATCATGTAATAATCATTATAAGCAACACATCACAAGACACTAACTTTTCTCATTCAAAATGGGATGGAGTCTTCAATAACTTAGTTGGAGCAGGAGAACTCATTGCAAGGAATGCATAATTTATCAGCATTCACATTGAAGTTTAAAGCCTTGTAATTTACCACAAAAACAATGCATGTTTAGCTTTTAAAGCATAACTATCCCCATAACTAAGTCTGCAGTTGCTATATTAAGACTGCACACTATAAAACTGCCGTAAGCTTGCTCAGTATTCACGCGCACTGTCCATAATGCTGTTCTCCTGCCTGCCCTCAGGTTCTTGAGACTCCAAAATTGGCGGACCAACTTACATCACTTCTCCTACAGGAGTCAAAGGAACGTTCAGAGCAAATACTGGAGGTCTCGCTATCGTTGTCAGATTGGTCCTCAAAGGCTTTACTGTACATCTTTCTGTTTGGAGAACGCTGTGTGCGGAGATTTGGTTACTAGGCAAGCAATGGGAAATAATTATCATAAAAATTAACAACTTAGAAGTTAGTAAGAAGCAATGCCAATTAGCATGGATTCTTTATCAATGTAAGGTATTTTATCCACATTTTTTAAGATTTTGTTTCTGTAAGAAAAACAGAGAAAAAAAAATGTACTGCAAATATTAGTGTGGAAATTCAAATAACAAGATCATGAACTTCCTTACAAAAGTGACAAAACATCATTACGAGTAACAACAATAATAACAATAAACAAAAAGTATAAATATACACAGATGTATTTCACTACCTCAACTACAGAGCAATTCATTATGACAGTATCACCAAAAACACAAAAGAGTAAAAAGGAAGGAAGGGTTTAATCTAGCCACAGAGATAAAAAGAAGAAGAAGAAGAAGAAAAAAAAAAGGGCGAAAATATTCTACATACAGTTTACAATTAGAGCGTAGTAATACAAAAAGCTTTCTACAAATTACACAAAGAGAAATGTGAAACAACTAAAAGGGGATCTAAAAACCTCTGTCAACAAAATCCCTTCCTTCCTAGCTTGCAGCAGTACCCAGCCAACTAGTGCATGTGCAACCAACCAGTGATAAGAAGCCGTGAGTGAGTGTTACAGTGATGGTCTGACATGACCAACGGTTAAGTGTGTGCCACTAAAAAGCTGACTAGTAAGCAATGTAGAATAAAAAAAATCTAGTGTACCTTAGTTATCAATTTGAACCTTGTGAAAGCTTTATAAGCTACTGCACATATTATAGCAACTTGTAGCTAATAAAATAAAAAATAGTCTATATCTATTTCATTTGAATCTAATAAAAAGTTATTCAGCTAAAGCCAAAAGCAGAGCACTGAAACAAATAAAAGTTTCATGATAATGAAAACCAAATTTACTTTTCATCTTTATAATACTAATGTTTAAAATCCATATACAAAACACAAAACCAGTCTTTTAGAAAATGATGAAGATAATACTAGAAATAACTTTTCTGTGCAACGAATTACTTAGCTTTCATGCTTACATCCTCACAAGCCTTCACTCACTCTAGACATACATACAGCTAATACTCAAGTAATCCGACTCTAGTGAATATAAATAAAAACAAACAGGTATCTACAGTGACATATATCACACACAACAAAATAAAGGTGCTATAAACAGGTGATACCTTTAATTATTTATTTGTAAACATTACACTAGGTGAATTTAACATTCAGTGGTAATGTGGAAACAGGCAAATACAAAAAGGTATTTAAAAAGAAACAAGGCTCATCTTACAAGGAAATCTCATCTACAGTTTAATTTTGTCTGATCTTTTTAATAACTTACAGGTTGACGGTAAGCCTGGAACTCTCCTCCAGCTCTATCACATCGATCAACCCTACCAGGGTAGTTTGATCTTTCACGCTGTTTAAATGAGAGTTCACATCCTAATTGCTGACACATGAAAGGTTGACATATATGTAGACAGACTGGTACATAATCAATACATTATGAAATATACTTGATTGGCTTCATCTACTTCTTCACACCACACTTGCAAATACATTGTAAGACTCACACGAAGCTAGGCATTATACCCCAATTGCATTGTTTAATGTAAAACTCAAATATTAAACAAGTTTCTTTCATTCCTTAACTAATTTAAAAATGAAAAAATAAATCATTTCTAAAAACATCCCCTCTCTCCAAAACAAAGGCATTATCTCCTTTCTTACAGTTATTTGTCTTTTGTTCTCCCATTTCATCTGAATATCCAGAAACCTGCAACTGATTATAATGTTGATGTCTCTCAAACATTTGCAAAATCTCCATTCTCTAACAGTCAGACACACAGACATGAACTGACTGTCTCACTCTTGTGCAGACATACATGCAAAAAATATACATACATATAAACATTCAATCTTTCAAAAACATTTATTCATAAATGTACAGGACTCCTTAAATTCTCATTCACAAATTTTCACTAGAAATGCAAATTCTGCTGAATTATTGAAGAGTTATCATTTAAATCCACAAAAAATATTAAAATCAAAAAGTGGAAAAAAAGGGTTCATGAACCAACTACACCTGAAATATTTCTACCACAATAAAAAAAAAGAAGTAAAAGTAAGATGAGAAATGAACAAAATTAGAGACTAGCATCAGTGATCTTAACAGAGCAAAGAGAAGGAATATTTTGTTAAATATTTTATCTCATTTTAGTAAAATTTGGAGAAGTTCAACACAAAACCAATTTAAAAAGGGAATTCATTGCAAAATTGATTTTATGACGGACAATACATTCCCACAGGAAAGCTCTTATATCATTCAAGCACGATACAGTAAAAGTATGTTAAAAGAAACTAACAAAGAAGTTAAACGTTCATCAACAGTAAGAAAATATTGTATAATATAGAATAAAATGATAAACAGACTTAAGAGCCTCCTTTCCCACATGGAAAAAGTTCCTTTCTATTGCTATTCCTTATGATCACAATAAGAATACAACTGGGGAAAACAGTATATAGAAAAGGCACTAAGAAGTACAGTACAGTATAGTGAGAAGAATCCAAGAAAAAAAACTATTCAAAGGAAATCAACACAGAAAAAACAAGGATGAAAGAGGGGGGTGGGAAATAAAGAGTATGGTGGACTGTTTGCTAAAACATAAGGAGTACTAAGCATTCATGTACATATAATGAAGGAAGCATTAAGAATGTTTATGTATAATATCTTTTAAAAGTCATATATATACCAACAAGTTTTGTAGATAGAGACTAAAAGAGAAAAAAACTAAAACAATGAAAACCTTTA